TTCTATATTCAAGGTGCTTGTGCAACCTGTGGCAGCAAGGTACAGGCAATGGGGCACAGCTAAAACAGCACTGGATTTAGAGTTTAGAGGACCTGGGTTCAAATCCTACATTTTCCATTTACCATATGTGTGATCTTGAACAAACTGCTTAACCTTGACAGACCTTCCTCTTTACCTATTAAATAAGGGGTTTGGATCTCTAAATTCCTACACAGTTTTAAATCTATGAGCCTCTATCATCTAGGAAATCCCTAGAATTGCAGTATTGAGAACAACGGCATACTACTTTTGTATTGTAAACAACAGTGCTCTCACTGAATGATTGATTACTAAACTTTTAATTTTTGAACAATGACTGGTAATGGTACTTTGAGCTTAGGAATCGTTTGTGGGTGCTGGTGAGATATAAGCTCTAATAATCCCATCATTTTATTGAATGTTTCAGTCTTAAGGAAGAAAGGACAGTGAGGGATTTTATGGCTAAATATTATGGTCCTGCCAATTGTTAGAAGCATAAAATTCTCCTCCTTAGGGTCCTCTTTTTTGTTTCCTTCAAGAAATAGGGATAGTCTCTCTTCATAGGAACCCTAAGAATGAGAATGACTGACATGAAACTCTTCAATATATCCTGGAAGTTATTTTAAGCACAGGTCACTTCAAGTTTCTGAGTGGCAAATGTATTCAATAGCTTATGAGTAGCATTTAAGAAGGGTTACTGTGCCTACAATTGTCCAGTTCTCATTTCCAGAATATACTTGGCACTCCACGTCAGTAAACAGGTGAAAGACCAGCAGACCTTTCATCATGGCAGGTTGCTTTATTGTTATAAAAGTTCCACTTAAAAAAATAAAAAGAGCTATAGCACATAATTATGTGAATTCAGAAGATTTTTTTAAAAAAAACCAAGAAACTCAAACAAAATAAAATTGTTGCATTACACTAGAGCATTCTCTAGTATGCGCTCACTACATGAAACTGGTTCTAATACCCAGAGGAGTAAAACAAAGATGGCTCTCCCTCCAAAGCCAATCTAAGCAGACGTTCAAGACTTAGATGTTGTATTTCCTTGACCAATGGGCTTTGTAATTTCACCAACTTCTGCAGAATTTTGATTTCGTTTGACTCTCTCTCCTCTTTGCTTCTCTCCCTTTCTCAACATCTTTATCTGTCACCTTGGTACTTGGAACTTCCAGTATGAAACTGGATGATTGTCAGGTACAGAAAGATTTGGAGCTCAGAGGTTGACTGTGAAGGTATTTACTTCTTTTGTAAGCACAATGTTGATCAAAATTAAAGATGGAGGAACTTCAGGGTGACACTCTGAGATAAGAATTGAATAAGCCTAGGCTAGGGATGGTTCTCACTAAAGGTAGATAGATATTCCTTATTAATCTAACTGGTTTAGGCCAGCTGTGTTGGTCCCTGCCGAAACCCACAGACAGATATAGATGAATAGAACCCCTACCAGGGACCTTTATCCTCACAAAAATCACATAGATGAGACATTATTCCCAAGACACAGACCCAAATGAGCATGTTCCAAGGGAGACAGATACTCAGATAATTGGACAATAGAGGAAAGAATTCTGGCATTATGAACAAGAGGTCCTTGCTTCACAAAGGCCTATGAACACTGTCATGATGAAGCCCAATACTATATTGGAATAAGAGCTTGACTTGGACAGAAACAGGTGATCAGACCAAATCACCAGTTTCATGGTGATCCTGTTGTTGATACTTGTAGACTACCACCCTTCTGGAAGGTTTTAAAAAAATGGACTGATTAGGACTCACTTCAGTTGCATGCCCCCTCTGACTACTCTTCCCAATCCTGTACCCTCCTGTTTGATAGCTCCCACTCCTATGTATCCTGGAATTTACTTTTGCCAAATGCCCAGAACATGCCACCATCAGGATATTGCTTTACCTCTCGCTCCTTGATTTCAAGAAAAGTTTTATGTTTGTCTTTGCACCCCCAGCACCTGGCACAATACCTGGCAGAAAACAGGCACTTAACAAATGCTTGTTGATTGACTCTTTGTATCACCTGCTGCCTTTTCACCTTCTTCCCAACAGTTAGAATGGATGTTCCTGAAGGTTCTGCCCTTGTCCTCTTCTTTCTCCTCACACTCACCCTTGACAACCTCATTCATTCCCATGGCTTCCCCTGCCACGTTTATGTGGATGACTCTATAACTCTAGCTCTGACTTATCTTCTGAGCTCTAAATCCACATCTCCAACTGCCTACGAGACATCACTACAGAGACATCCCGCTGGCTCCTCAAACTCAACACATAGCAAACCAAACTTAGGATCTTGGTCTCTAATGCATGTATTATCTTTCTCCCAAAATTTATTCTTCCTTCTGACTTCACCTTTTCTGTCAGTTGGCACAGTTCTAACCAAATTCAAACCTTTGAAAGCATGGTTCTCATTACCTTAACCTGGGGTCCCTCTAACCAACTACTCTCAGTCCCAGACTGCCAAGTACTGCAGAAGGAAGTCATAAAACTGCTTACTGTACCCATTAGAAATTCATGCTGTTGAATTTCAAATCAGCTTTCACTTCCACATGGCAATATTATATTTCCTCCAATTCAAAACTCTCTGAGTTGTTAGAGTCCTTTGAGATCATTTGGTCTAACCTATGCCTGGAACAAGAATCTCTTCAACAGTATCTTCCCCTCCCCCGCAACAAGTGGTCATTCAATCTCTTTTTGAAAACTTCAAGAGCAAGGGAGTTTCAGGGCAGACCATCTTACTTCCAAGTAATTCTAAGTGTTAGCAAGCTTTCCCTTCTATCAAATGAAAATTGCCCTCCATTTCTGATTGATTCCCTTTCACACTCCCCAAAGGGATTGGTTTAAATCTCCTTCAAGCCACACATCCCACCTTGATCTCCTTTTTTTTTTCCTTCAGCAGATGATTTTACCTCCTGCTTTACTGAGAAGATTGGGATCATCTGTTGTCCATTCTGCCATCTTTCCTCCTGTGTGCCTCAAAACCTCTCTTGGCCCTCACTCATATTCCCTTCTTTGCCCTTATCAACCTTATCTTACTTATTTGCATTTATTTAATATACTCCTTCCTGCCCCCACTGCCAATTTTTTTAAAGTCAATAAGGGCAGGGACAATTTTATTTTTTTATCTCTTCATCTCCCATATCTGGCACAGTGCCTCGTGCACAATAACTACTTAATAAATATCTTTCAAGCTTAATTGAATAGATTTGATTATTTCAAATTTCTTCTCTTTGGTGGCTCTTGACAGCCTCCCAAGTAAAATCCAAAACCCTTTGGCTGGATTTCAAGGCTCTCCCCAATCTGACACTACCTACTCTTCTAACCTTATTTCGTACTACATTCCCCACACCTTCAGCCTCAGTTTGGCTTCCTGTCTTCCATATAAGTTTTACACTTTCTCTTCTCTATGCCTTTGCTGATATCATGCCCTGTGGATAGAATAACTTTCTTCCCCTTGAATTGCCTGTTAAATTCCTACCATTTGTTTCAAATCAAGTTTAAATGTCACCTCTCCTAGAGACCAGGGACTTCTCTGATCCTCTCAGTCAAGAACAGCCTTTTCTCCCTCAGACCTCAAATAGCACTTTGTTTTTCAATTATTTGATGCATTTAGCCATAGGATTGTGTATTATACTTGTTTGAGCTGTGCCTTAGCCCCCTCCCAAACTGTAAGATCTAAGAAGGCAGGAACTATATCTGAGCTAAAGTTGATATTTTCCCCAGCTCCTACTACAGTGCTCTGTGGACAATACATGTTTAATAAATGCTTGTTGAGCTGAATTGAATCAAAGTGGCAATATCCACATCAGACATGGAGAAAAGCAAAGGATGTCATCCCTGATACTGCTAGCTCCTTACGACTAAACAGAGGAGAGTCAATGACTGCATAGAATATGGTGAGCCCAACTGGCCAGGATCCCCAATCACAGGTATAGAAGCACTTCACTCATTACACTAGGAAAACTGCCTGACAAAATCCCAGGAGAGAGAATAGATATTTCTAAAGATGGCTGAACCTTGTTTTCAGAAAGCCTGATCTCCCCAATTCAGAAATTACAAACTAGACAAAGTAGAAGTATGTATTCATATTACAAAAATATCATTCATTTTTTACAGAAAAAATTCACTATAGAATTCCTTTAAAAAGTAGATTCCTTGAGTGGATTTTGAATCATGATGTAATTTATACAGATTCAGTTCCATACTTAGATTAAGGTACAATGGAAAGATAAGGGACTTTGCTACATATACATTGACTGGTTTGTTTTGGTTCGCAATCGCACATTTATCAAGAAAGTTTTGTTTCCCCCTTGCATGGAGTCTGTCATACAAACCCCTTTACACCTTTGGTTGATGGCCAATCCCTGTGCACCTCCTGAATTTCCTGTTAACTTCCTGCCAGAGGTTGAAAATCAAGTTTAAGGGTCAACACTTCTGGGGACCCTTCTCTGATCCTCCCAATCAATAACAAACTTGTTACCAACCAAGAATGTGTGTCATTCCTCAATTAAAACCAGGAGGATGTTGGAATGTGCTTTCAATGGATGTTTCAGCCAGGCCTCCTGGTACTCTGCCCTGAAACTACAAAAGAGCCTGTTTGGAGGCACTAGCCATACTCAAGGGAGCCCTGCCATGTCTAGACATCACAGTGTGATCTGGAAACCAGACAATGAAATACTTTACTACATCTAGGTAGAAGGTCCAACTAGAGCATTCATCAGTAGCACAAAGACCTATTTAGGGGCCTGACTTGTTGAGACTTCTTGGCCTCTTTTGGCTCACTGTGTGCCATGCAGCCATAGACCTGTATTCAGGAGTGTCAAATTAGAGACTCAGGAGATCTAACACCCCTGTCCCACAGGACTTTGGAGAGGCAGGAGCATCTATGTCCAACTTGCTTATCTATGGCCCAGTCTGTGGGCAACTTTGTAGCCTGGGGCCCAGGGCCCAGGGCCCAGGGTACAAGACACAATTACCTGGTACTGTGGGAAGGTCGAGTGGTTTGTAAATACAGGAGGTGGAGGGTAATTCAGGTTGAGCCAAAGTGGCTGGTTCAGTGCTGTTGAGGTTAAGGCTGTGGCGAAGCGTGGCATGAACACATTTCCAGTATACTTGAGGTTGTTCTTATCAGCAATCGTCATTGGTGCATTGACTGTAGGACAGAAGTCAAGGGCTTCACTCAAAAAGGGGCCGGAACCCAGCAACCCTTCAGCTCAACCCTCAGCACAGAAGTTACAATTCTTAGAGGGCCAATCCTCTAAAATCCAGGTGAATATCCAAACCTCATCAGTATGTGATAACTCTGACCTGGGTTGGAGAAGATTTTGCCTCCAACTGACAAAATAAAACAAAAACCAAAAACCACCTTCTCCTTCCCTCAAAAAGAAAAAAAAACCCAAATAAAAAATCAAACATGGCTGAGCAAGTTCATAACATAAATAGAAGGGGAGTGTTTAAACTGCTTTAAATAATCAAGAAGCATTTGTCTGAATATTTTTATTGAAGTAAAAACAGTTGCCATTTTTGTCTATTCATTAAAACAAGACCCCTGAGGACCTCCATTTGTTCCTAAGAATAAAGATCACTGAATTAGAAAGACTTAACTTCAAGACCTGAATTTAAACCTTGTTCTGTCTCTTTTTGCCTGTGTGACCATGGGAAATTAGACTACAAGCCCAATATGAGTCATCACTAAGTGATACGGCAACTAAAAATCTGATGTAATCTTAGGCTGTCCAGGGTGGTAATCATTTTACTGTACTTTGCCCTGATCAAATTGCATCTCAAGTGTGTTCAGCTCTGCTTGCCACATTTGAGGAAGGACCTTGATTAGCTGTAGAGTACCCAAAAGAGCGAGCCAAAGACCTGGGCAGCTAGGTGGTGCAGTAGACATCAATCAATAAACATTTGTTAAATGCCTGCCATGTGCCAGGCATTCTGCTCAGCACGAGTCTTGAATCAGAAAGGCCTGGGTTCAAATCCAGCCACAGATACTGGATGATCCTGGGCAAGTCACCTAACCTCTGTTTGCCTCAGCTATAAAGTGAGGACAGTAATGGTACCTCTCTCGTATGGTTGTAAGGATCAAATGAGATGCTATTTACTAAGTGGTTGGCAAAATTCCTGGGATGTACTAGGCACTAAATAAATACTTGTTTCCTTTCTTCCTTCAAAAGCATGTTTTATGGTTATAGAATGAAGGAACTTGAGATGCTTAACCTGGAAAAGAAAAGATTTCCGCAAGTCTTTGTCTGCAAGTATCTGAAAGGCTGTCCTGAGGGAGAGAGATTAGACTAATTCGACTTGAACCCGAAAGACAGCATCATAAGAAGGTGACGAATATCAGATTTAGACTTCATTGTAAGTCAAAACTTCCCACCAATGAGCCCTGCCCACAAATGGAATGGCTTCCCTTGGTGATACAGTTTGCCTCCCTAGAAGCTTTCAACCAAAGGGTGGAGAAGCATGTTCTGGGTATGTTGTGGGGGGAGGTCCCTCCTAGCACTAAGATTCTTTGATTCTGTAAAGTTGTTGAGCTTCTCTGGGCCTCAGTTTCTTCATCTATTAAACAAAGAGGTTGGCCTAGAATTCACGGGTGGGGAATCTTTGGAGGCCACGTGTGGAGGTTCACTTGAGGACCTAGAGGGCCACGTATGGCCTCAAGGCTGCAGGTTCCCCACGCCTGGCTTAGATGATCCCTAAGCTTTCTCCCTGCTGTAAATGTTGGTACTGTGATCCTTGAATGGTCTTCAAGTCCTATAGGAAGGGGTGGGATTTGTTCTTCTTGGCAACTCCTCTAATCATAGAATGTTAGAGCTGGAATGGGTCAGAGAACTGAGCTGCTTGTGCTTAAAAGTATCAAAGCAGTTTCTTCTACAATATTATGGAATATAGCCTAGACTTGCCCTGAATTAGCCTGATTCAATGAGATTTTTACAGCATTATCTGTCTGAACTTCAGTACTGATTGGACTAATTGGAGGGTCTACTAGCTTCTTTGTTGGGAATAATGACTGGTTTGCTGGAAGGAGTGGCCAGTTGTCAGAGAGATTAAATATATTAGTAATAATGGAGAAAGATCCTGACTAACCATGCTAAGAACAGGAAATTCCAAACCACAGATCCAACAGTTCAATAGATAAAATTTAGCAAGAACCTACTGCATTCAAGGCTATGTGCTTGGCAGGGGGGAATATAAATAAAAAGGCCCTGACCTCAAAGAGTTTACAATCTAATAGGAGAAAAGACATTTGCACACAGGGGTGGGATAGAAAAAGAGTAACATAGGTGCAAAGGAGAGGTCCTAGCAATGTGTTACGGGAAATAAATGGGAGGAGGGGGGAGATTGGTTCTGTTCTGTTTTGTTTTTTAAGCGGGGAAATCAATGATGTTTTCCAGGAAGATAATGTGACGTGGCCTTAAAAGCGAATGGGGATTTCAACAGCCAATGCATTTGAGGGAGGAGGTTGCATATTCCAGGCAAGGCGAAACAATATGAACAATGACATAGATAAAATGAAAACAACAATTCTGTTTGGTGGGAGCCTGGGGTATACGAAGTCAGCAGTAGGAGAAGAGAAGGCTAGAAAATGTGACCACAGACAGATTTCGAACGGCCTTGAATGTCAGTATCAGTTACTCTAAAGCAAAGGGGAAACCCTTGTTACCATTTTAAATGTCTTTTTAGAAAATGTCACAGCATTATATTAGTCTGATCTTAGATTAGAACCTGAAAAATGAGGTCTCTGGGAAGAAAAAAAATCTACAAAATGAAATAAAAAAATCTATATACTGAAAAATAAAATTATATAAAATTATTGTATCAGTTTTCTGACTTCCAGGCCAATGTTCCCTTCATTGCATCAGGCTGCCTACATTTTACAGATGTGGAAAAAAAAAACAAAATGGAACTCACAGGGTCATACAGCTATTCCATTTAAAAAGCCTAGATTGGAATGGCTCTTATGTCCCTAGACTCATACCTGTAGGAGTCTCTTGTGGTCACCTGCCTAGTTCTTTCCCGCAAGGATGCTCAATGAAGCCCTTCCCTCTAGCGTTCTCTCAACCCTTCCCACCTCCCAGCTTACACTTCAGCTCCAGCCCATCCACTTCAGTTTTGCTCCGTAATCTCAGCTGTCCATCGGGATTCTTGGCTGCCCCGAGGAACTCATAAAGCAGGTTCTTTTCTGTGGGCCAAGGAGGCCTTTTGGAAGGCAGGGAGACAAACATGCTGCTGGCCTTGCCACTGCCGAGGCCCTCCTCACCACACATGTCCTTCCGGCACTGGGGCCACTGGCTGGGAACCAGGGCATCTCTGGGGGCCTTGACCAGTTCCTTGGAGTTTGGAGTCCTCTCTGTGGTGAGAAGGAAGATGAGTCAGGAGCAGCTGGGGCCTGGGAGAGCTTTCTCCCTGCCCCATGCGGCCAGAATATCCCAATGCACACATACACATGTACACACTGACCTCTGACCTCTCCAGCCATGTCATCTGCTCTGCAGCTAAACTTTCTTATATGTATTGCTTCCCTCTTTAGAATATGAGCTCATTCAAAGCAGGGAGTGTTTTACTTTTCTACTTGTATCCTTAGGGTTTAATTCCATGCTTTGAATGTAGTAAATACTTAATACCTTTTCATCCACTCATTTATTGGTTGAAGGGAATTAGTAGGAGACAAAAGACCTCAGGACACTGAGGCTACTAGTGGACACCACCACAGGGACTTTGGGAGAGCACAAAGGGCGTGGGAGGAGTCCACTCCAGGCTCTTCACAAATGCTATCAGTGTTTTATATGTTTGGGCTCTGGGACAAAGCCTCATTTTCTGTGCCCTAGTTATTCGTTCTGCTCAAATATCTTTCCTTACCTTAACCATCCTAGGGTCCTAGAAGACCTTCATCTACTTCTCCAAGGTGCTGATGCCTTCTGACTCAGCTTTTCTCCATCGTCTTCCCTGACTAACTCATCTCGTATTGATCTGTCCGTCTTCTAATACCACTAATTGACTGTACTAGTGACTGATTGTTTAGACTGATTGATAGGATATGTTCTTGGAGAGTAAATTGCCCCTTAGTGGCTCTACCCCATCCTCTTCTCTCAGAGAAGTTAACTGGCATGCTTATGGTCACACAGTTCTCAGGACTGATGGAATCCCCTGGCCCCAAGGAGGCACTGGACAGTGAGGAAGGGGAGGACGAACTGGGTCAGTGCTAAGGATGAGATGTCTCAGCTCTGCCCCAACTCAGGACAAAACTGTTCTGACTGGAGCCAGTTTGGGGTGGGGTGGGGGAGACATTTTTAGCTAAATATGTCCCCAGAGTCTCCTCCAAATGATTGTGCGTTTGCTGAGTTTTCCCTGGAGCCAATGAGCTGCAGTAACAATGCCCACTAATAATAGCAGCATCTCTCCTTCCACACACTGAGGGAGGTGGCAGGGGTTGAGGGGTGGAGGGAGGATGAGAAGGGCAGACTGGCTGGGGCCAAGGCGACTCTCGAAAATGCCTTGCCCGACTCAGCCCCCACCAGGGTCCCAAGCTCCTCTTTTGGTAATCCATTCAAAGACGGAACAGGTGGATCCCAGGAGAACCTGCCTCACTAGAATGGATTCATTCAATCATCCAACAAATCTTAATTAAGCAAAAACACAGTCTACTCCTCCTATGCAGAATTTATGAGAGGACATGGATGAGAGAGACATGGCATGAACAGCCAGGAATCTGTGTCTTTGGAGGAAATCCTACTTCTGTGGAATTAGAGATCCATTGGATTATTGAAGTGTTGGAATATCATCATTTTAAAATTTCTACTATAGTCACCTGTGTAGCTGTCTTCTCTTCCCTCATTGAATTGTTAAGCTCTTTGGAGGCAGGGACTGGGTCTTATTTAACTTTTATGTCTCCTCAAGTCCCTCCCACTGTAGTGGGCCCATGATGAATGAATGAATAAGTGAATGAAGACCCCATTATGTGCTAAACCTTTTGCTGGGCACTGGGATATATTCTGAACAGGACCCAGATTTCTGACACCTCCCCACCCTAATCACTAAACTCTAGCTCACCCTGTGAACCTGGGATGCAGATGATCCTTGGGAAATTTCTCCTTTTGACTTCAGGCAGCAATGGATTTGAACCCACAGAGGTACAGTACAGAGACATTCACTGTCCTCAGAGATGACAAAGGAAAGTGAACAATACGAACTAGTATTTATTTAGCTTCTTCTGTTTTGCAAAGCACTTCACACATACTCCCTTATTCCATGCCCTTTTGAGTTAGATAACACAGATATTGTTATTATGCCCATTTGTGTTTTTTTTTTGCCCATTCATAGAAAATCACTTACCCACAGCCACACAGTTAACAAGGGTCAGGGCTGTGACTTGAGCCAAAGTCTGTCCTAACTCCAAATCCAATGCTCCTTACCTTATATCATGCTAATCTATAATCTCAGGTCATGAAAGAGGATTTTTTTTCACTTTGAAATGCAATATATGAGACACAGCCTTGTGGAGTGGAAAGAACCCTGGCTGGGGGCCAGGAGACCTGGGTTCTAGTCTCAAGTCTTCTCCTGATTTGCTCTGGAATTTTGGTCAAATCCTTTTCTCTTTCTGTGCCTGAGTTCTTCATCTGAAAAATGGAGAGTTGCACTAGGCATTCTCTTGTCTCCTTTCCAGTTCAAGTATGCTATATTTCTGTGTCTGAGTCCAAATCCTTTCATCTCTAAAATATGGCACATTCAAGAGAAAGCATGGTGGGATGCACTTGGAGGCAGGAGCCTCCTCGCTCTGATGCACTGATGATGCTTCAGCTTCCTCAAGCCCCTTTCCCACTTCTGAACCTCAGTTTTCCCATCTAACAGGCACTAGTGTAAACAGTCTCTAAAATTCTATTTCTAAATTCCAGGCAAAAGACTTTTTTCCTAGTGATAGCTGATATAGGCCAATATGAAGATGAATCTGCCTCGGGCCTGCAGGGCACATACATAAACACGCAGCAGAGGGAGCTGGACTAGGAAAAAATATTCAACATGGCTAAACCAGACATGGCTAGTCAGGAGCTGGCTCCATGTTGCTTATGGGGCCATAGAAAAAAAACTAGGGGCCAAAGGCAGCCCTGGTGTCTAAAAGTAAATGATCCCTCTGCCCCTAGTAGAAAGTGAGTTCCTTGAGGTCAGGGAGTGTCTTCAAACACACAGACACACAGACATACACACACACACACACACACACACACACACACACACACACACCCCTAGTGCCAGGCATAGAACAGATGAATCTCTAGATGCCAGAGAAAGCAGAAAAAAATTGGGTAAGAGATAGGAAATTTCCCTAGGACATTTAAATGGAAAGATAGTTGCCTAAGGCTGTCCTAATGTCGCACAATGAGGAAGAGATTTTAGGAGAGCCACCTGCTTTAAAAGAAAGATACCAGGAGGCCTGTCAGTGGAAGGTCTGAGGCAAGGTGTTTTCTTCTTCCTAGAAGTGAGCCATACAAATTCCCCCCAACTTTGGTCTCAGAGACATTGTCTTCTGGTATCTGTTTCCCCCAACTCCCAGAGCCTCCCAGCCCTGGCAAGGAGCCCCTCAGCTGAACATCAGTCAACCCCTGGGGCTTGAAGCAAATCTTGGGGAAGACTAAGATTGGCCTCTTTCTCATAAGGCAGACAGCTCTCATTCCAAATGCCCCCCTCATAGTAGGACACTGAAAGACTTTAAGCCTTTCTATTAAATGGCCCGGGCAATTCACTTCTACCTTGCTGCTTTTCCTTAGTGCCTAGATATGGCAGAAAAATGAAGAGGAAAATACCCAGAAACACAAAGCTTGCAAGGGCTGCTACAAGCAGGTACTATATTGGACTGGATTTGGGGAAATATCCAACAATTTAACAAGCATTCATTAAGCATCTTCCATATGCCAGGTGTTCTGCTAGGCCCAGGGAATACAAAGATACAGTCCTATCCCCAAGGGGGGTACACGTTATTTGGGAAGGTGGCATGTACACAGGGAAATCAATAAAAATACATTAGAATAAATAAACAGCCATTTGGGGAGGGAACACTAACAATTTGGGCAATCGTGAAGGTTTCTTATAATGGGGGACACTTGAAATGAGCCTTCAAGCGAGTCCCAAGAAGCAAAGGTGAGGAGGGAGCACACTCAGGCATGGAGGACAACGTGTGCAAACACTTGAGGGCGGGAGGTAGAATGCCAAGTGCAGGGCGTGTTTGCCTGCCAGGGAGGTTAGCTGGATGAGAGCACGGGGTGCTCTGTCTGTGGTAGAGCCTTCCGAGCTCCTACTGGTCTGATCAGCCACAGTCAGACACACTCTACCTTGACCCGAACATGGTGATGTCATTTTGGTCCTCTTCAAGCACGAAGGACGACCAACTGTATACACTACTGCCTGGAAAGAAAGGCTGGAGCCAGACTTGAAGGGCTTTAAATGACAAACAGGCAGGAGTGGGGGGGGGGGGGAGGTGTATTTTATCCTGGAGGCAATAGGGAGCCACAGGAGCTTCTTGAGCAGGAGAGTGACATGGTTGGACCTGTATTTTACATGAACTTTTCTACTGTCCCAGGTCCCTGGGGCAGCACTGAGAACATCCCTGTGTCCCAGTGGGCTGCATAGGGCCCAGAGAAATCATCTCATCCATCTCCTGTCTTGAGACCAGGCTACGTCCAGCCCACCTCTAATGGAGAAGACCTGAAGATGGCAAAGGCACAACTCACATCTTGAAGGAGCCTCATTTATATCAATGGGCTTGGCTCCTGGCCGACCCTGCAGCTTTTCCCAGGTCCTCCTGGGGCGGCTTCATTAGGTCAAGGGATCAGAGGTTTAAAGCTGGAAAGGACCTCAGAGGCCACCTAGACCAGCTAGGTCACTTTTTACATGTGAAGAACCTGAGGTCAAGAGCTTAGGTCACTTGCCCTCGAGGCATTGAGGTGGCACTGTGCATAGAGTGTTGGACTCCAGTCAGGGACACTTGAGTCCTAATCATGCCTCAGGTGCTCCCTTAGTTGTGTGCGCCCCAGTAAGCTCCTATTGTTTCTCAGCCTCAGTTTCTTCATCTGTAAAATGGAGGACTGGTGTGAGAATCAAATAAGATAACAAATATAAAGTGCTTTGCAAACCTTAAATTGATAAATTATTGCCTAAATAATAACTATTAGTATTGCCTATGATCACAAAGGATTTGAATCCAGAGCTCCAAGTTCAAATCCAGTACTCTTTTTCACTCTCCCTCTCTGAGATATTTTTTGCCCTTGTATCCTCAGTGTTTAGAACAGTGCCTGACTCACAATTAAGCAATTAATAAATGCTTGTTGACTGACTGATCAACTTTCTTCGATACCCGTGGGTCTAGCAGAACCAACAGGTTAGTCACTAGCCACCCCAGTCCACCATCCTCCCCAACTCTTCTCCGCCCAAGCATTGCTCTGCTCCCAGCATCTCTCACCCATCACAAGGAGCCCCTCCATGGAGGGGTCGGCCTCTGGTTTGGAGCAGATCTTGGCAAACACTGGGAGCTGCCTCTTCTGCCCGGGGAGCTCAGGAGCCTTCTCTGGCAGCACTGGCAGTGGTGGTGGTGGCAGAGGAAGCAGGGGCGCAGCCCTGATGGCTTTTTGGGGCCGGGGCCACTGAACATGCTGTTCTGAAGGAAGTCCTTGATCACCCTGGTCTCCTCCAGCACCATTTTGTTGTCGGGGGCCTTGGACGACTCAATATGCTTCAGGGGGAACTGGGCCAGGAGCCTGCTGATCTCTGAATTGGAGGCTGCAAGGGTGGCAATGCCCTCCTCCCCGCCCTTGGTGCCCTTGCCCTTGGCGGAGCGCAGGATCCCCGTGACTGTGGATTTGACTGAGTCACAGTCAGGGCGGCCAGGCAGCTCCCCCAGCCCACTGAGCATGGGCGGGATGGCCTGCCCCACAGTCTTTTTCTGGCCCAGCAACTGGTCCCGCCCAAAGGTGAGGGCCAGGGGGAGGCCCCTGGCCCGGGCCAAGACATGTGGAGGGAAGGGTGGAGTGGCCAGCCTGCTCAGCTCAGGGGCGTCACCTGCTACGTCCAGCTCCCCAGGACTGTCTCTGGCCAGGCTCAAGTTTTCTTTCGTGAGGTTCAAGTATTCTTGCTCCACTAGGAGGGAGATCTCATCCTTACTGCAGCTCTGATCCAAAGCTCTGTGTGGGGATAGAGAAAGATGAGTTTATCAGCCATTCGTCCAGAGGCAGCTGCAGAGATTCTCCAGAATGCTGTCTGGGAAACGAATGATTTGGAACCAAATACGAACAGCCAAACAAACCTTCCAAAATCCATTTTGTCCTTGAGAGGAGAGCATAAAGAAGATTCCCTTCCCAAATGGGCTTACCTGTGAGGTTCTGAGTACATCTGAGCCAGAGCTGGACAGGCAGCCAGGAAGCTGGGGACCTAGGCCTTCCTCTGCCTCTAACTTGCCGTGTGACCTTGGACAGGTCACTGCCCTTCTCTGAGGTTCAGTTTCCTCATCCATAAAACGGAGCTATTATTAATCCATGCCCCACCCACTTCACTGTGAGGATCACACAAGAGAAGAATGATAGCATACCTTCTTCAGGCATAAAAAGTAATTTCCTGGTGACAGCAATTCTGTGAACTGAGTGGTGGGTATTGCTAAGTGAATTTTGAAGAGGAAACTGAGACTCCAAGATAAAATACCAAGGCCAGACAGCTCTGCCACTTACTGCCTGTGTTACCTTGGGTTAGTCACTTACCTCTCTGGACCTCATTTTTCTCATCTGCAAAATGAGGGAAATGAACCAGATGACCTCCTAGATCTCTTTCCATTCTAAATCTAGGACAGCCCTAGTTCTCAAAAAGATCTAGTTGCACGGTGGTAGAAATTTGAGCAAACCAATGTTTTGGGGAGCCCAGAACAAGGTTCCCTCCCAATGAAGTAAACACTTAATAAATATTTGTTGAACTGAGTTGAGTTGAATGACCTGATTCAGGTTCAATCCTAAACCCCATACAGACTTCATGGAGTGCTTGGCAGGTTCTTTCCCAGGCCAGTCCCTGAGGTCCTCCTGTTAACAAGAGAAGGGCTGGCTTGCTAAGGTGGAAGGCAGATAGAGACATTAAAGGGGGTAGGGGTGCAGTGCCCCCACGATCTGGAAAACCCCCATATGATATTTTGACCCTCCCTTCGTACCAGAGAAGAAATCAGAATGATTATGGTATTCACGAATAAAATGTGTTGATATATTGATATTATACAATACTCCACATATATTTTATGCATTTCTGAGCTTCTGAACTTTTTCTATGTCACCTGCTGACCTTCACGTGTTGTGTGCAGCTTCCACAAAACTCCCCCCAAATTCCCATTGAATTTCTAATGCCAAACCCATGATATATCAAAACCGTGATGGGGAAAGTCCCAATGTGGAAGGGATAACTGTATACTCTACAGCATTGCTTTAAGAACCTCCAAGACCTCTTGGGGAGCTCACTACCTCCTGAGGCAAGCCATCCTATTTTGGGGCAGCTCTAATTGCTAAGCAGTGCATCCTCCTATAGACTTGGAATCTGCCTTCCTATAACTTCCACCAACTTGTCCTAGTTCTGCCCTTCTGTATCTATGCTGAAAAAAGCTGGTCTTTCTTCCATGTGACAGCCTTCAAATGCTCGGAGACAGCTATTGTGTCCCCCCACCCCCATCATTTTTTCCCTCCTGGGCAAATATTCCAATTCTTTACTCATATACCATAGTTTTGAGTACCCTCACTATCCTGACTGTTCTCATTAGGAGGAATTATAGCTTATCATTGTCCTTTGCAATATGCAGTATCCAGATGAATACACTATGTTGCAGACCAATAGAATAAGAGATGTGAGCATGCCATCATGGAAGGGTTTGCAGGATGCTGGCCAATCGGGAAGAGATGAGGTCTTTAAGGCCATATCATGTAAGGATATCAGTCCAGAATTGAGAGGGGCCTGAGGAGAATAAAGTCGTGTATCTGGTCTGAGAGATTCAAAACGGAAGAACAAGAACCGGAACCAGGGAATCCAGGCAAGAAGTTATCACAATGGGAAACAGGGTATAGGGTGGGGTGGGCACGGGGTGTCTAATCAGGAACCAGAGCCAAAAAGGCAAAGCAAAGGTAAACACTTCCGGGGGGATTCAGGACATAGTAGCTTAATTTACATGCCCAGTATTTCATGGTCTACAATCCATCCTTACTAAATGGCTGTCTATGTCACCCTCACCAGCTGACACCTGTACAATTTTCTACATTTACCAGGGATAGGGTCCAGACACAATACTCTGGATGTGGTTTGATCAGCGGGAGTGCTCCCTCCCCACTTCTCCCAACCAGCTTGATCTGGACTTAAGTCTTTTATTAATGCAGCCAAAGATCACATTAGTGTTTTGCTTTTGTTTTTTTATTTTAGCGGCTACACTATCCTATCTGCATGTGTGGGGGTTATAGTCACTACTCCCTCCTCCTTCCCACCCCCACCTGCCCAGCCCCAGGTAGTTTTTCACATAAATAAAGCCCTAGCTTGTACTTGCACAAGTGATTGTTTTCCACCTAAATTCAGGGATTTACATTTACCTCTATTCAATTCCATCTTGTTAGTTTTTACCTATTGTTTCGGCTTATCCAAATCATTTTGGAACTTGATACAGCCTTCTAAAATAGGAACTATCCATTTCAGCACCATATCTTCTGAGCTAGCATGGTTGTGTTTTTTTTTAACCTCTACACCTAAGACTTACACACACACACACACACACACACACACACACGCATGTGTGAGTGCTGAACAAGAGAACAACATTGAATAATAACACTGAATGGGAAAATATTGAAGAGAATGTTGGAAAGAGCTCTAGGTCCAAACCCTGGCTCTGTAACCTTTAACAAATTGAATCACCTCTACAGGCTTTAGTTGTCTCACCTTTTAAATGAAAGGGTTAAGCCAAATTATTTCCAAGGTATCTTCCAACTCTAATTCTATGCTCTTATGATCTTAATGCCAGATCCCTAAGTCCCACCACTAGAGACCTCTGTCATAGTTGAAATGGGTACATACATTCATCCACTTTTTCCAAGTATAATTATTCAACAATTCATGTAACAATACTATCACCAAGCCCATTTTGCATCTCTATATTGTTTATGAGGATACAAGCAATGCCTAGCTAAAATCAAGCTCTATTGTATGTCATTTTCCTGTTCTACTAGTACTTCTCCCACCCCCACCCCCAAAGGAAAAGAATGAAGTTATTTTGCCATGGCCTGTTAACAGTCAACTCCTGGTTATCATTGCATTCTTTCTCAAGTACTCATAATCCACCTACTTAAGAATCCATTCTAGAATTTTGTGGGAGTTCAGTACCAAGGTTACTGGTCCACTCTTTCCAGAATCCACCTTTCCTCTGCGTGTTCTAAATCAAAACCTCACTGTTCCAAGACCTCTGGAACCTTTTCCATTATCTATGATTTCTTTTTTGAGTTAGCCAAATTCAGAGGCTGTCAAAGAGAGAAATAATACATCATTCAGAGAAACTAAACCAAACTTCCTGACTCCTGAGAATAAGAGTGAATCAGGATTAGTGGGGGTGGCTTCCCTGGATCTCTTCTTTGTCTCCTTAGTGGCTTCACCCATTTCTAGAAATGATAGCTGTCCATTGTCAGCCATTTGCTCAGACATTGTGCATTATTCCTAGATCCATGACACAAAGGACAATGTAAGAATAAAAGATATTGACTAGTTGGCATCCCCCCTCCAGAATAACGACTAAGATAGTATGCTGTTCATTTCCCAAACAGCAGTTCAGTGTACAGTATAACATAGAAGAAAGATGAAAACTGCTATCCATCTGAAGCCAAAGGGAAAAAAAGCAGGCAGAAAATAGTTGGTGTTGGAAGAGGACATCAAAACAAATATTTCCATCCAGCTAAGGCATTTCAAGTCTGCTGCTAATACAAAATTAATAATCTCCTATTTTCATGGCTAAATGTCACAGTACCACTGAGGTTTCAGTTGTGCTGTGAGGGCAAAGTGGTTTGCATTTCTCTATTAGAATGTGAGGTGGTAGAGATGATGATGATGATGGTAGTAGTGGTGGTAGAAGAGATGGCTATAGTGGTAGTGGTGGTGAGGATGGTGATGAAAATGGAGGAGGGGAAAGAAAACAGGAAGACAAAGAAGGATGAAGAAATATTAGATCTTAAAAGCTAGAAATGGGCACAGAATATTAAGGCTTGGAGGTGCCTTAAAAAACCTTCTAGGTTACCTTGCCCATTTTATGGAAGAGGTAACTGAGGCCCTGAGAAAGGATGTTACTTGATCAAGGTCACAAAGAAAGTAAATGATAGAGCTAGGACTCACAGCCCAATCTTCTGACTCCCAGGTCAGTGTCCTTTGCATTGGACTGCTAGTGATATTTTAATTTCACAGAAACTGTCTATACTTCACAGAAATTTCACAGAAACCTTATATATTTTTTGTTGTGACAGAATTTTAGAATTGATCATTCGGTCCAACCCTTACCTGAACAAGAATGACCTCTACATCACACACAAGTGATCACTCAGACCCTGCATTAAGACCTCCAGTGAGGGAGGACTCACTACCTTCAAAAGCAAGTGTATTCCACTTGGAGGTGGCTGTAGTTATTAGGAATGTTTTCCTTAAATTGAAATTCACTTCTTTGCAACTTTCACTCATTGCTTCCAGTTCCAATCTAGTTAGCCAATGCTAGTTACTCTTCCAAATGACAGGTCTTTACAGTGGATAGAGCACCAGCCTTGAAGTCAGGAGGACCTGAGCTCAAATCCAGCCTCAGACCAAACACTTGACACTCACTAGCTGTGTGACTCTGGCCAAGTCACTTAACCCAGTTGCCTTAAAAAAAACCCAAATGACAGCTCTTCAGATAGTCAAATGTAACTATTATCTCCTCCTCTACCCCAAGTTTTCTCTTCTTCATGCTGAACACTCTCCATTCCTTCAGTCAGTTCCACATACATCATGATCCATCACAAGGTCCTTCTTCATTCTGGTTACCTTCCTCTAGATATTTCCATTTCAGCAATGTTCTTCCTTCTTAAATGTGGGACCCAAAACTAAACACGATATTCTAGAAGTAGTCCAAACATGGTGAGCACATTAGTACTACTACCTCCCT